ATTATTTTATTTATTTATTTTTTACCTTTGTTATTATTTCCATTTGTTTCCCTCAGTGTCAGTGAGATTTGTTTTCATTATTCAAAAAACAGTGGCAAATGTACTATTCTTACCAGAATCAGTAAAGTGGAATGTTCACCAGTCCTATTTCATCTCCTTCCTATTTCCCCTGTCTTTCCTATTCCATTCTTTTCCTCAAATTCACTCAACTCCTTTCTGCAAAAATGAAAAATGAAACTGAAATGAAATGAAACTTCTTCACAGAAATCGCAAGATGACCATATGACCTTTGTTGACATTTCGCTACCTCTCGACTTCTCCATAACTGTTTTCAGCTTGCTATGTGTGCTACTCCTCGTCGTACCGATATAGCGCTTAGTTCAACCCATACTCATTTACGCCGTTTACTTTTTGGAGAACTCGTGTTCAGCAGAGAGTAATGATCCAGCTAAGCTCCAGGTGGGCATTGCTCGTGAACCATTTTTACAACAGATGCTTTGGAAGATTTGTCAGAATCATCCCTCACATTGATGAAGAGCCGGGGTCAGTTAGTGAAGGCGATGAATGATGTTTTTGTCGAGATTGTTGCGTGCCCAGGTGTCGACAGCCCATGCTTAATATGCATCAATCCTCCACCTTGTCGATTATTATCTAATCGTGCGTCTTCCGTGACTCTCCACATCCATTATTAACCCTCACCGTATACCAGAAGCAAATTTATAATAGCGCCAGCATCCGCCCATTAGCGTGAATTTCCTACCATAACCGCCACAACACACGGAATGATGCTCTTAAATTGAAAAGCTAAAGTGTGTGCTTCTTGTTATCTTAGCACATTATCCTACCGAGATAATCGTTCACAACGAAGCCTTACTTACTCTAATTAGGAGATATGTTCTTAGAAATTACCATTTCCACCTTGATTCAGCTGAAAATCGTTTTTAAAATTTATTAGTATGGTTAGTGAAATGACCAATCACACGGCGAATACAATTAAGGGGTCAGATGTCATTGATATTGGATGGAAGGATTACTGAGTAGTTGCTAAATGACTGGCGCAATGTGATGGGAGTACAGCGGTTACTAGTAGTTGAATGAATAGAAAATCTGGGCCTATAAACACAAACACTCTCGAGACTAGTTCACTAAGGAAATACGGGGATTGTGGGATCACGCCATAACAGAACAAAAGTAATCATACAGTAAATCAGTGAGAAAGAAAGGAATTAAATTTAAGACATACAAAAACTTTGATATGCTCCAAATATACACAGTGAGTCGATCAATGACATAAAAAATAAGGAATACAATAAAAAATTAATCAGCAGTCTGTGCCGCGTTCATAAATTGCCGTAAATAATGACACGAAATTAACTTAGGAAGATGCATGCGCAGGAGTTCAAGATATGGACCAATCGACGGGAGACACAAAGAATAAAAGAAATGAAAAAAATAATATTTAGCAGGATATGAAACAGCAAATAACAAATGATGACACAACAATGATGAGGAAAAAATATATAATTCGTGGGATTTAACGTGAGATACAGTGTACATGGAAATTTATAGTGAAACCGTCCGTTGTTCCGAGTGTGAAAAGGAGGAATAGACGAGAAAACAATTATGCACAGAGAAAGCGCCTTACGGACGGTTCAGAGATTCCTGTCGGCAATACTATTTATATAAAATGAAAATATGACGAATAAAAGAAAATAACAAAACAAATATAATAGGTGAGTAAAAATCGACGCATGTATAGAGGAGGATCAATATGTATCATATTAATTAGCGGTCAGTAACTTTAGATAACAGTGGGCGATATTTCTGTGTCTACTCAGCTGTCTGTAACATATGCGATTGATGATGATGGGCAAAGTCGGCCAACAAAGCTGCTCCAGTCAAACCCGCAAAATCCAGCTGAAAAACAGACTGAGTGGTACAGGATTACTGTAATCGAGATATCGTGCGTACACGGGCTGCGAAACGAGAAAGCTCACTTGTGATGTCGGAGATATCGATTGATCTTCAGGCCAGCTTGGCTCCTTCTTTTTCATCATCGTCTTGTATTCATTGATGCGAACTTTTTTCCCGTCCACAAGGCATGTTCGTTTTGGTCGAGGTCTAAAAAGGAGCAGCTGTTTGGTTGCAGATCTCCAAAAACAGACTTATTGGAATATTTTTGAGAGCGACTTCTGCGCACGATAGGGTACGCCATACCTGTAACGGTAGTCAGGATGTTGTTCCATGTGTAACTTGCTCAAGCGTGATTGCTCCTCGTAATAGGGTTGCTTCTCCGAGTTACTCATCGATTTCCATCGATTTCCTGTAATCGATAAGTGATCACCTGCGATTCCCGATGATCAAAGAATCAGTAAAGCTCACCAAGAATTTTGCTAATGTTGCTATTGTGCATATCTGGATGAGCTTTCAGGATCTTCCTTCTCTCATCGCGAGCCCAAACCTATCATAATAATTTATGCTTATTGACTACTAGCAACCAGTATTCCACTCAAACAGTACCATGAAGGCATTCATAGGCCTTTTGATGTGATTGGGTGACTTGGCTTGAGTTCGAACGCTCGTAGGAGGATCGAGTGAAGAGAGTAGAGAACCATTTCCAGGGGTGCTCTTTCCGGATGAAGCCGGTGAATGGTTTGTGAACGCCGATGCTAAACAAGTGAAAGTGAAATTGAAGAAAAGACAACCGACCGACTTTTTAAATAAGGCCTCATAAATTCGGGCTAGTAGGAAGGCTAGATAAGGTAAATGTCATTGACCCCAATGAAAATGCTCTGTTTGATCAGCAGTTCGACTTTAGTTGAGAACCAAACAAACAACTTTTCTATTTACCGTCATTGAAGATGGCTTGTTTTTGAAAATGTGAAAGGGTTGCTTACAATCGGAAGCGAAGTTATGCGGCATTCCGAACGAAATTCTGCCGACAATGTTTGACGGCGTTAACGGCGATGTCGATAGCGTTGGAATCACCGGGCTAGGCTTACTGATCTCTTCGCTTTTAACCTGAAATCATCCACAGTTTTTAAAGATACTGTCCAGGAACTGCCAGGAAAAAAGTGGTGATGTGTTACTTTTGTGAGGTTGAGTGGGCAGTCAGTGACTTTTTCCGGTTTCGGCTTCGGTGTAACGGCGGCCAACGAGGCGGTCAGATTCTGATGAAGTAGCGAGGGCATTCCGGCACTAATCATTCCGTTTCCGAGCAAATGCTCATAATGAGCTCCTATAAAGGTCGAAATCAATGAATATGTCTATGTGGCCATTTCGGTGCATGCATTCTCTGCATTGAAACGAAATGTTTAATTGTTTCATTAACGAGCTAATGGTACAAAGGCACAGCTGGCACATTGCACCCGATCAGCCAGCCGCGCCTTTGCTGAACCGACAGAAATGCGCACATAAAAGGCGTCCGAATCATGTCATTTAGGACTTGGCGGATTCCTGCGAGTCCTGCTATATCCCTGTTCAACGCACCTGGGAAGAGCAAAGAAAGGTTGGGTTGGGTCATCATCGCCAAAATTCGTTGCTGATTTTGCTGATGAATGAGCATCTGTTGCCGGAGCAGCATCTCATCAAAACTGTCCGACTGCATTTTCTAAAGAAACAACACAGATGAGAAATAATGTCAGTTGACTTGAAGGAGAAGAAGAGGTGAACGATGAGGAAAAAACGGATGCATGCGTTAGACGGAAGCCGATCGCACCAGCTGCAACAATAGCAACGACGCAGCGAAGACTACTGGCGGCATATAAAAAGAAACATAACGATACGGTAGCATTACATAATCTGTGGTGAGTTACGATAACTTTAACAAAGCGTACTGCAATCCAAAACGGACTCTCACCTGTTGGTTGCGATCGTCTTTAATAAAGGTGTCCGCTTGTTCCTCCTTGTCCTCTTTCGTGAGCTCCTCACTTGATAGCCGTTCTTTTAACGTTGTTAGCTGAACAGCGCTATTTCAGTCAACTGTAACACATAGGCTAATTGTGTGGCTTTTCCTTACCTGTCGGATCACGTTCTGAATGAGATCGAGCTTCCCGTCGTGTGATTCAAACGAATTCAATAGTTCCCTGAGTGTATTGCCGTCGATGAGAACTGTACAACCTTGTTCGGTTTGAGCGAGTATGTCAGGATAATCAGTAACACCAGTAGTAGCCGACGTGCTGAAATCGTTCGCTGATCCGGGATGAATGAATAATGAAACCATTTCACGATTGAGGATGATAACGCCCGTTATTTTCCGCTTAGAAATAACCATATATTCAGCGGATCATATTTGTTTGTTCTTTGTTTTAGATCAAGAATGCTACGCCTCTCGTCAAACAACACGTTCCATCATCAAGAAACGAAAACAATTTCAAATTCTCTCTCTCTGCTCACAGGCAAGGTTCCGAACGGACAAGCTCGCCTGAATGCAACAGGGTGAGTGCACGCTGTAAATCTAGTTTTTCTATACAGCATAAGATTTTCTCGGGAAAATTGTCGATGAACAAATGAGATGAAATACGGCACAATCGCCCGTAGAACCCCACGTCGATTTGTATGAATTGAAGTAATTAACGATATCAATGACATAACGATGAGCACATGTGAGCATAGTCAACTGGACACGTTTAACTCATCGATTTAATGTAATATTTATCGAATGTGTGCATAATGAAATAAGCACAAGCATAGGGCGGTATTCGATTGAAAGAAGAATAGAATTCTCAATGCGGTCATTAGCTTAGTTACTGATGCCGGCAATGTTCGATGCGCACTACTAAACGTGCATCTCTAACACTTTCAAATAGTATGCCCATTGATAGATGTGCATTTTGCAACCTGACCACAAGCGTAGAACGCGTGCACTCACGAAAAACTTCACGAATTGATGAAACCGAGAAAATGTACGGAGCAGCAACGCTCTCTGAGGGCGAATCCACAAATGAACTGGTAGAAGCACGATGCGGACACACACATACATCACTGTCGGCCTGTTCAAATCTTGATGTTGTGAAAACATATTGTTCACAAGCAGTTCTCTGTGTGAGGATTTTTTTTCTCGCTCTCACTAGCAAAACACATCAGTTAAATGGTTGAGATGATGGAGTTGCAACAGCTGCCGTCTGCTCCCGTTGATCAAGTTGGTGTTGAACGGGGCCGGCTTGTGATGACAAACGGAGCTGACCAGTGCCAAAGTGGACAACGGACGCTTATCAGGCCTCGACAGAGTTTGTCGCTTGATCCCTCACCGATAACAGAGGTCGACTTCGGCCGCATCGTGTCACGTTCGTCGCCTGACATTCGCCCGCTTGACGATCGCAAAGAATCACAACATCACTTCCGGCAACTTACGCCTTGCCACAACATGGCCTACGGAAAGGTCAGTGCACTGCACTATACTGTAGCTTTCACACTAGGAATTCTAGGGTTAACCAAGGGGAACGATTCAGCCACAAACCAGTCGTCTGAGCATCACTATGCCAGCGGCGACAGCGGTAGGGATGGCAAATCCACGTAGTGGTGTCATTGGCGAGTTACGCGACGTCAAATGAAGCGAATTCCCATTTTGTCGTCGCTTGCCCGTGGCTGTCACTCAACTTTTCTATTGCCATTTTGTGTCAAACAGGAAGCGTGTGAGCGCTCAAGCGCAAGCCACGCACCGCATACAATTGAATATACGGTAATGCTAATTGCTATTCTGTTTGAATGCCGTCATTGAAACTGAGCCCTCCAATGATCGCCGGCCATAGAGGAGTTTTCGAAGCGATAATGAATTTAAGGGATCGGAAACCTCCCGCCACTCCCTCTGCGTCCTCCACCGCACGGTATGTCACATTTCGCCCCCGCGCATGTATATGTTTCACAAAAGAGCGTAATTTATTAGGTTCAGTATGGCATAGTGCAAGACGCTACAGAACAAAGGCGACTGGACAATGGCATTACTGTAGCGCGCCAAACATCCAATAAATTGTCCGCAACCACTGCGAACAAAATCTGAGGGAGGAAGGCGCAGGCTAGGGATCGTTTAACGCAATTATGAAACGTGCTACAACGACAATGGATCGAGTTTTTTCCTTGGGCGGAGACCCGCAAACAGTAAAGCAGAGTGACCAGTACACTGAGCTTCTACTTTCGTTTCGCTGCTGATAGTGAAGAAAACTCGCGTTCGAGCGGTCATTTCTTATCAATGGTGGCGATACCACGATGGAACTTGCGGCTGATGAAGGAACAAGCGGGAATGACAGGTGGGAAAATGAAGTGTAAAGGGAGTTGTAGAAGAACAGCGAGGAGAACGGGAAAAACTGAACTGTAACAGCGAAAATGCCCTCCGAAAATTTGCTAAGAGAGAGTAATCACGGAAATTCTGAAGAAGAGCAAAGGAAGTTTAAACCAGAATGGTCAGTTGGAGGATCATTGATGAAGGCCAAAATGGTCAGCGAGCTGAAAAAAAAGCTCGTGGCGTTCGACGAACCACTGTTGCTGACTGTGCTCGCTTCAAACATTTACCGCTAATGTCTTTGTGCCTTCATTCAATGCCATCAAACTAACAGAGGCTCGAAACGAACAACGCGTTCATTCAGAGAATACCGTAACAGTGCTGAACCGATTGATTCAAAGCATTGGCGCCAAAATCACATGGAAAGCGGAAAAGAAGGGGAAAGGGACCAGCAATTAGGCAGAAATATGCTAAGGTTCAAACAACTCGAATTAGAAGATGTGGCTACCTGTGAGGCCAATATTCGAGATGAGGTCAACAAATGAAACCGTAACTTTCAAGTAAGTAAGCGAAACACACCTTGTGTGTTCAGAAGTGCTGCTGGCATTGCTCTTAATAGAGGCACCGGGAGGTGATGAGGCTGGATTCGGTGAACTGTCCATGTCCTACAATTAGGCTTTAATAGAAAACAATTAACGGCAGCAGTCCTATGTTTTTGAAACAGATTAAATATGTATTATAGTTGGATTTGTTTCACAAGGAGCTGTTGTTTAAGGAGTTGCTGGTGTGATGTGCTCTGTGGGTGATCATGTCAGTCTGAAAGAGTCAGCAAAGGACAATGTAGTTGAGAATAGGGAGAATGGCCCCTGGCTTGACTCCTCCTTCTTTTTCTTCTCCTCCTCCTTCTAGCCCTCATGTAACCGCCGCCGCCGACACCGCCTGATATCGCCGTGTCCAGCATCGTCCCATCCCACACACCGGCCAGTTAGCCGGCTGGCCTTTGTAAAACGCTACACGAAATTGTACTCCAATCAGGACATATCCTATGTCTGACAATGTTTCCATATTAATTACACACAATTAATTGCGAATTCATTCCTTCACATTTTATCACGACAAACAATTAGCAATTGTTCCCTGAGAGCACACTACAATGCCGAAGTGCTGACTAATTAACATTTAGCAAAAAAATAATACCCCTTGAGAGAAGGGTAGGAGGGGAGGGAGTAGTGAATTCAGGGTGCAGCCAGACTTGCTCTAGTACAGCTGTCCCATAAAGACCACACATAGTTAGCAAAGTGCGTGATAAAATGCTAGCCCGATTCAATAGCATGGAAATTCGCACACACACCCACAACGACAACGACTACCCCCGTTGACTACTAGTAATTACAACAAGGCTCATTCAGTAGTGATGCCGAAGCATTTACAGCTACAGCCATCAGTAAATGAATACGTTTAAAGAAAGTTATGTCCCAATGAGGTCCCTTCGTGTCGTGGGCTTTGTTTGCGATGAAATTCATCCAGAAAATGACAAAACACTAAGGTCAAGATTGTAACTGATAGCCCTCAAAGGGGAAACGTGCCACACAATCAAAATGCGGCCCGAGACAAAAAAAAGGGCGGGTGCAGAGGCTGCGAAAGAAGCTGACTGACCGCCGACCTGAATCACAGCAATTAAAAAACACCTATGGTTTGCCCTGCTGTCACCTGAACAAGGAAATGATAAGCTTTATTTTTAAATTTTCTATAAAGCTCTGAGGTCAAAGGGTTTATGCATGAAAGTTACAGAGGCTATCTATTTTAAGGTAAATTTTCACCTTAGTTTTTTTTCAAATCGAAATTAAATTAGTTTGGCTCGATAACCAACCTCATCAGTTATCATAATATGTCGCGTTTTCGTGTGTTCCACAAGGTGCTCGATCATCTCAGCCGAGTTGGTGAGCGATGTGGACGGATTGTGGACGATATGGGCAAGTTCAGAGACCGCTCAGTCGTGTTGGATTCGTCTTTCGGCGACTGCTCATACTGAAAAAATGAATAATATTTTCTGAAATGAGCGTATACTGGTACCCTCATATAGTTAAAAGACCAGCACATGTCGGGCAGCGATTACAATGAAACGTCGCGTGCTAATGAGACGTCGCTAAGCATTCATTGTGCTCGGTCGGTGAGAAGAGATGTGAAATTAGATCGAGTATAAGAGGAAAGATTGTCCTGCGGGTTTCAATGACGGGACGGACGGCCGACAGAGGTGTTAGCGGTTATGTGGAACGTAGAAAGGGATGAAGATGGACACACTGGGGTGAGGTATCGTCTGATGGGAGCCCTCCAGGTGGGGCACAATGTGACCCGCCCACAAGAATACCGTAGACGTCCATTGGCAAATCCACACATGCAATGGCACCTTAACGCGATTATAGTTATTCTGCTTCCAACTAATGAGCATATTCGATTTGGGTAAGGTTAGAGCAAATTATCACAAACCATCTTGCACCTTGCCTAAAGATATGAAGCCTAAAGGGATCAGGACACAAAGCGATGACCTCCGAATTCCTGAAAGGCCACAAAATTCCCATCTAGTGGCTTGATAATCTAGTTTTACTCAGAATTAAGAAAGGCAAATTTTCTATGTTCCTGGAGAATTAGTTGAGAAATCATGAAATTATTATGGAGCCACAAGCAGTCGATGCTTCAGGAGACTCGACGACGGAAGCTCAGAAGAAAATCAACAGTGACCAATTCTGTCCGCAAATCCTGGATTCAACAGCTACCGTAATTCATTTTAGCAATAACTCATTATTAATGCTAACATGGCCGCACGCGATCTTCCATATGTTACCTGTGGGCGACTAAAGCTGTCATTCAAGTGGAATTGATTCGGAAAGTCATATGGCGTCTAAGATAGATATTAGGATTTCAAGGCAGAGCAGCTTACATGCTTGACAAGTCCTGTCGTTCCACCGAATGAGATCAAATATACTTAGGTTGCGCTTTCTGGGTGTTACGCGATGTGTGGCCTCCTTTTCAAAACTGCCTCCCATGCTAGTTAGCAGCCCGCGGGTCCGAAGATAAGGTCTTGGTGGAAATCACTGTTTAAGAGGAAGTTCAGAGAAACCAGAACACATCCTGAGAACCGACAGAGCTACAGAAACACCTGATTTTCTAGTGCTATGTTCAGATCATAACTGAGCCAGGAAAGAGTAGCGCTGAGTATTTCATAAGAACAAAGCACCGGCTGGTGGTGGACGGGTAAAATGTAGGGAGTCCAGTGATTGTGTCGCTGGGCACAAAGCCAAAACATTGGGTTATCAGGAACAAACACTACGACTTCGGCACGACATCAGGTCAGCGAATCAAGGTCGCGTAAAAATCAAACCCTAGGACATCATACCTGATTGAATCTCGGCTCATTTCAGGATGTTATGGATAATGAGACCCAGGTGTAATATTATGCTATTGTTGAGCTTAGTAGGCAGGGGCAACGGCGGAGAGGCCTAACAGATATACATAAGCAAGACGTCGGCGATAATTTTAACGTGGTTCATTTGCTGTCAATTGTCTGCGGAGACTTTTCAGATGAATTCATTCGAGCCATACGTTGTATGAGCAACAATTCACAATACGGTAATGCAATACTAGCGCCGCTAATTACACTGAATGGCTCGGATATCAGACCCGAGGATTCTCCTCACACAGGCATAACGGGCCGGCCACGATGTAATTTCTCGGCGATTTGATATTATGCAAAAGAGTATACACACATAACATCGGCCTATTATTTATCGGTGCAAATCAGCTGATAGAGAAGTTACAGAGGGATTGGGAGCCCTAAGGAGTACTATTAACACTCTCCCATACGTCTCCTATACCTCTTCAATTACGGTACCATACTCGGATCATTAGTTGGTAAAAGAAAGTTCTCCATTTCAATCTGCCTAGTACGAGTTCAGAAAAGAACACATAAACATGTTTGAAAATATTCTTGAAATTAAAAAAAAATTATGACCGAAGATCGGAGAGTAGCCCTACAGAAAGCAGTCCCACAGGAATTGCATCCTACCGTATGGGCGTTTTTTGTGGAATTTGATTGCTGGGCCCTACCTTAGATAAGGAATACGGATAAGGAGACTACAAAGAGATGGTAACAACCAATGAGATGCCCGTAGGGGCGAAGCGCAAAACACGCCCACACGATATGCACGCAGTGTTATTTTGTGAGAATTTTTTTTGCATTCTCTCACTGTCATCACTAGTGGACCTAACGCCACAATTACGTCCATCTTCGGACGCATGTATACTGATCAAACGCCGAATGTTTCCTTAGGAATGACTAAGCGCTAAATAGTGAATCGCTGGAATCCAGTTTCACCCTCTGATCTCCTCTGATCCTCTGATTATAACTGCTGCAAGATCACTAATAAGTCTTTTCAAATCAGTTGATGTAGTCAGAAAATCTAAGGGAGATTAGCGCCTTATAGAGTGAGAAAACTAACTAAACTTGAGTCGTAGCAAAAAATGCCAATGAAACGTTTTTTTTCGTTTTTCGAACGTTTTTCCGTCCTAATACTAGGGCATTTGGGATAGGCTTTGTAATTCTTCAGGTACGTTTCGACTGGAAAGTAGAAAATAAGCGTTCTACACTAGCCTAATTTATCAAGGAATTAAGCCAGGAACCGCACCTTCTGCTATACTCTGTCTTTCAGCGTGAAAGAGGAAGCGCTACTCGAATTACCCGTGGGTGAACTAACAAGCGAAGATAGCCTGTGGCTCGCTCTATGCAGTAGAATAAAGGCGAAGTGCTGTAATAAGACGACGGATGTCGTTATAGATTGCCTGACAATGCTTCGAAAAGGATTAGTCACTGTAGGGCTTCCCTATCCAGGCATAACATTAGCAAATCCGAAAGCAATTGTTGCTCGTCGACGTTATTCTTCGGAATTTTTATTATTAATTCTCCGAAACAAGTTCTATTTTCTACTCTTAAATACCTTCTACCTTTGACGTTCAAGATTTCAAATCTCATCTGACATCACGACAGTCCTATCGAGAAGCTGTCGTTCTCCTACGTGAACTATGCTTTGCGGTTTCTTAGCGCACATCTAGTCGACTTGAGTAATTGAAGAAAATGAAGTTTCAAACTCAAAACGTGTCTTAGGTGTCACGTATTTAATTATTATTATTGAATAATTATTTAATGTTCAATGTAAAGTTCTACTGGCTCTAAGCCGTAAAGGTCCTGCATGCTTGGTTGCGGGGTCGCTGTTCAAAATAAACCTAAGGAACCGTGTGAGGAAATTCCACCAACAAAGAACATCATTGGGCAGGGCGGAGATCGACCCACGAGGAAGTAAGAGTTCGAAGCCAAGCCTCTTGTCACGGCGCCAGCAATTTCCTATCAATAATTGCCGTATTGAAAAGGACTTAGAAATAGGGAGCGAAATTCATTTTCAATGGAAGAAATGGACGCATTACTATCTGATGCCGAACAAATTTCACATTAAACTGGTAAACTATTATCTAAAACTTATTTGAGCGACCAGAGTTCTCCCTGCTGGTCTCTACAGTTGGTATTCTCGTGAATCATTTTAACAGTCGGCTTTCAAAGGGATTTCGTGAAAAATTCAAGGTATTTCTTAATCTCAGGGTCATACGTGAAGAACTGGTGAGTTACGCGCTACTTGTATGCGACTAGGTCTGCACTGGGTAACCGTTCTATCAAAGGGGAGACGTGCGTTGCTCCTCCCAGGGTTAGGTCACCACAGTTGCGCGATTATTGATGCTTAAGGTTAAGGTTGGGTTTAGACTTAGGTCAAGGCTTATGCTTACACATTGGCTCATGCCTAAGCCTGTGATTGGGCCTAGGCTTAATCCCAAGCATGCTCCGAGCGAATGGAGGGCGTCTCAATTTTAGGAGACCTGACGCCAGGAGGAAAAACGCTACACACACATAGTTGCGCTTGATATCCCAGATCAAAGCATTCCAATGATCGCAGATGGTCTGTAAGAACTAAATTCGGTAAGCATGTGTTTTACTGCCCACAGTGGATAGTTCAAAAACTGTGACCAAGAATGAAGGTGTGGGTGATACCACGCCATTTTTTCAAATATGAACGGATAAAATTTGAAAAATGAGAGCATGACGAATGTTCTCATGACGGATAGCCGCCAGACACGCTGGACACCCACACCCACAGCGACAATCGTTCCGAGAGGCCAACTCAGCGAACGTAAATGTTGTTGTGAGTGTAAAAAGTGAGATGTCAGGTCTCAGTGGCTAAGAATGATGCTATCACTCTTCAGCGAGGTTTTTGTTCAACAAAAGACTCCTTGGTGCTGGCCAGAGCGATTTTGTAAACATGCTCTAGAGTAGGCGCTGTTCGTCGCTCCCGAAACCTTTTATAATTTTTAGGGATCACGCGTACATTCTTCAAAGAGGAAACCACCTAATGGACGAAATTGGTGATAGAAAGAAATAAATGAGTGACTTCAATAAAAGGCCTCCTAAATGAGCCCTAGGAGAACATGTTTAAGTGTAATCTGTGAGTCCCGTCTCGAACAATGTACAAACTTTAAAAGAACTTTTGCCGAAATTTACGATTTAGTACGGGACGGCTCGTTGGGTGTTTGAGGATCGTATAAGGCAATTATTACCAGTACGACACAATTAGCGATGTTGGACGAGGCTGTTGATAGGCCTCAACGAAGCGCACGACTGCTCATCTGAAGCAGTCATTGTCCAGTTGATGGATTGTAGGCCTCAATGTGGCTTTCTATGCACGAAGTGAGCATTTATTCAGACTAGACAAGCTGGTTTCACCATACTTATAATATGGAAAAGTATGTTGCAGAGCGAGTAGGAAGGCTGGTAGCAACCAGATTGAAATTTTTCAGAACTAAAAATGGTAATGGAAAGGAAAATTTCAA